TGACCATATGGAAGGAAGTCAAGGAGCATTTTTTTGTTTGTTTTTTTCCAATTTCCCTTAGCTTCTCCCACATATTTTTTTCTGGTGGGTTTTGGACTGTTCCCACTGATTCAAGCTGGCAGTAACAAGGTTATATAACAGAGGGGATTTGTTTGGATTTGAGAGCTTATATGTGGGTTTTTAATCAGTTTACCATAAGTGAGCCCTAGGGGCACAGAGGGTTGATGCAGTCATTTGTTTTAGAGTTTCTAAAACCATAGTCTATAAACCGAAAGTAACTCCTAGGTGCAAGAAGTACCTTCCATTCTTGCAAGTGATGTTTTCTTAGTACCTAATGTCTAACTAAAGAAGTCAGCTTGGATTTTGATAGGGATGACGTTGAATCTGTAGATCAGATTGGGGAATGTAGTCATCTTAAAAATACTATCCATGAAAATGGGATGCTTTCCCCTTTACTTAGGTCTTTCATTTATTTAAAAAATGTTTTATAGTTGAGTATATGCTTTACACTTTTTATTAAATTTATTCTAAGAATTTAATTCCTTTTGATGTTATTGTGAATGAAATTAGTTTATTTTGGGCTTTTTACTGGTTTTATCATGCATACACATTAAAAACCTGAACATACTGACATAAATGCTGTTTTCTGCTCATGATTTTTTCCCTTGAAAACATTTCAGAAAAAATGGAACTGAAACAAAGGGAGAAATTTTAGGTGGCCTAGTTTCCAAATAACTTTACCATCTTATTGTGTAACTTGAAAGCGTTATTATTCTTTGGTAAAGGAGAGCTATAAGTCTAAGAGATAAATGGTGTTTCAGGGGTTTTCTATTAACTTCTGTCATTCTTAGGAGTAAAAAATATCTAGAATGGAAAGGCCATGAATAATGGTGGCAATGTACCGTATAACTTGTTTGAAAGTAAGTCTCCTTTAAATATGGCTGTTTTCACCTGGCTGGTGTGGCTCAGTGGATTGAGCATCATCCCATGGACTGAGAAGTACTAATAGTTTGATTCCCGGTCAGGGTACATGCCCAGATTTCAGACTCAATCCCCAGTAGGGGGCATGCAGGAGGCAACTGATCGATGTTTCTCTCTCACATTGATGTTTCTATCTCTTTCTTTCTTCCTCTCTCTCTAAAACTCAAAAATAAATAAATAAATAAATAAACAAACAAACAAACAAATAAATAAGGCTGTTTTCAAATGGACCACATGAAATATAAACTTAAGAGATTCCTCATAGTCCCTCAGTTACCCTAAAGTGATTTTTTAAATAAAAATAAATAAACTAAAAATCTGGTCTGGCCAGTGTGGCTCAGTGGTTGAGTGTCCACCGGTTGTGGGCCCAATCCCCTATGAGGGGCATGCAGGAGGCAGCCAAGTGATCTTCTCTCTCATCAATGTTTCTATCTCTCTCTCTCACTCTCACTTCTAATCTCTGTAAAAATCAATAAAGAAAAAAAAAACAACAACAACTAAAAATCTGTAACAAAGTTAAGTTTCTATTTTCTAAGTTACAAACTGTCCAAGGGCAAGAATCTAGTTTTGTTCATTTTCCGTCTTTATCCAGTGGGGTAGATTGATTGCAAAAGTGAACAAAAGTCTTCCCTCACCATCACAACCTCACTTCTGCCAAATGTCTTGGTGGATTTGTATTGCATTAACTTAGTTCAGCTGGAACTATTCTTTCCTAGAATTCATTCCCTGCAGAGTTAAAGATTAAAGGTCCACAAAATGTATTTTGGAACACAGAAGTGATGAAGCAGCAGCAATATTCCTTTCTGCACCTGAAGCTACCCTAACTCTGGGCTAGGTGCATGTTTAACTCAATGAAGAACACCGGCTCTTCCTATAGACCACACATCGTGGAAGTTGGAGGCTTGGAGGCAGTAAGAATGTGATGTGGGTTGGGGCCCATCCTTGCAGGTCCAGTTTCTCCTCCTCTTTCCACTTCATATCCATTTTCCCTCTTTGACTGCTCTATCTGCAGACTTCAGGCTCCAGAACCAGATGAAGAACAGCCTCCCATAGACTGTTTAACCAGCTACCACAATTAGTAACATCAAATTCCTATAGTTGACTCCTTATTTTATATATACAGTGATACCTCGGTTCTCGAACGCCTCGGTTTTCGACCAAATCGGTATTCGACCAGGAGATTCGAGAAACTTTTGTCTCGGAATCCGAACAAATATTTGGAACTCGAACTTCCGAGATGAGCCGAGTTGAGCCGAATGGCGTTCATTCGGCCCAGCGCGCCTTGCTTGCGTCATCAGTGTGAGTGCAGAGAGAGAGTCACGCTTTGTGGAGAGAGTCACGCTTTACACTGAATTTAACCCTTAGACATACTGTACACTTTTATTTCTTGTTGAGACTTATGTTTTTCTACATATTATATACAAATTAGGCCAGTAAATAGGCATTTTCTGGGGCTTGGAACGAATTAATCCAGTTTCCATTATTTCCTATTGGGTTTCATTGCTTCGGTTCTCGAACAATTCGGTTCTCGACCGTCCTCCTGGAACGAATTATGTTCGAGAACCGAGGTATCACTGTAATTGTTTTTCATTCTAGTGGTTCTGCTTCTCTAATGGAGCCCTGACTTTGCAGCTCCTCCTTGTTCCTTGAAACTAGGTTGGCCTTGTGATTTGTTTTGGGTAACAGAATGAGGGAGAAGTGATAGGGCCCAGTTCTGAGCCTAGGCTTCAAGAAGCCTTGCACATTCTCTCTGGTGGAACCTAGTAACCACTGTGCACACAATCCCAGGCTAGCCTCTTGGCAGATGAGACTACTACATGGACTACATGGAGGAGAGTTCAGTTGTTCTAGCCAAGGCCATTCTAAACCAGCCTATAAACAGCTTCTCCACCAAAATATGAGTATGCCCAGCCAAGATCAGCAAAGTTGCCCACTCAACCCTCATCTGACCACAGATGATGAGTGAGCCTACCTGAGAGCAGATGTACCAGCTGTCTCCCAGGCAGTAATAAATACATATTTTGTAAGCCACAAGTTTTGAGTTTTTCCCCCCGCAATAATAGTTAACTGATGCATCCAGCATATTAATGTTTCCTTCTTTTATTGTGAAATATTACATACAGAAAAATACATAAAGCACGTGAGTTTAACAAGCAATTATAAAATTGAAATAAATGTAAGCACCCTTAGTTAAAGATAAACAAACAAGACAAGAGCAATGCTGGCATGGATGAGCCCCCGCCTCACACCCCACCCTGTATTTCTTCTTACCTACTACCCTGTTCTTCCCCACTATCCTGACTTTTGAGTAATCATTCCCTTGCATCTTTGGATTGCTGTATTAGGGAAAATCGTATCATTTAGTTTTGCCTGCTGTTAGCCTTTATATTCTGTATGATTTCTTCTTTGCCTCGTTTCTGTTGCATTATGCTTTACAATTTCCCCATGTTGTCCTATGTTGCTATAATCAGTTCATTTACATTGCTCTGTAATGTCCCATTTTAAGAATATACTCAAACTTATGGATATTTGGGGTATTTCTAGTTTGGGACTATTATTAGGCTTTGGCTTTAAATATTCCTGTATATGTAGCCTAGTGTACCTATGCAGAAGTTTGTCTAAAGCACTGGTTCTCAAATTTTTGATCCCAGAACCTTTAAAATTAAATAAATACAAATAAATTAATGTTTTTAAATTTCAAAATTATATTTTATTAGGTAATGATACATTATATTCCAACATGATTGCACCGATTTACATTTCCACCAGCAGTGTATGTTGGACCTTGTTGCTTTATATGCTCACCAATATCTGGTATTGTTGCACTTGAAAAATTTTGCCTATCTGGTGGTGTGTAATGTATTGCATTGTGGTTTTAATCTAATTCACTCATTCATTCTCTGTTTCTTTGTATTGCTATTTTATGTATGAAGAAACTGAGGTTTAGAAGAGCAATGTTATGTGCCCAAAGAGTTAGAAAGTAGAACTCACATTTTCTACTTTGAAATTCAGTCTTCTTTCTGCTCACAGAAGAAATAATGTTTCTTTTTAGCCCAGTTCTCGGGAAGGTGCAATCTCCCCCAAATTTCACCTTTTTGGAGCTCCTTCACCTTCACCCTGCGGAGGCTTTGGGCATCTCAAGCTCATAGAAGTTCTGCGGTCTCACTGCTCATGAACACCCGCTTCTCATCGCCTTACTCCACCTCCTGTCTGCCGTCACTTCCGTACCTGGCTCCTACCCACTTTCCTCCAGTTCCTTCTCATAAAACTCCCTACCCACTCTCTCTGCTGATCATCTTGAGGTGCATGAGCCTCCCCGTGGTCATTATTTTTTTTAAAAAAGGTATAATATCTAATTCGTGTTTATATGCACGAAAAAACGTATAATTTATGAAATCGACATCTGTTAACTACTATTAATATTACCCACTATTATTTTTTAAGTACTCCAACATAAACTTTCTCTTCAGTAAAATAGGCGTAATACCTACCTTATAGGATTATTTGAAGAATCCAAAAATACAATAAATGTAATGTGCTGAGCACAGTGCCTGATGATAATGAACACTCAATTGGTGGTCCCAGAATTCGCGCTCCCCGCTAAACTGCTTCCCCCGAAATTTGTTATTTACGAGAAAACTCTCTGCAAATAGCCAAGCACTCTACCACCGGCGGTTAGCCCCCTAGCGCAAAAGAAGCTCTTCACTCCCTTGGAGCTCTCTAGCTCTCAGCTCTCACATAGACACAAGCCTACGCTACTTACTCTCCCCGGCGGTACCTTGCTCCTTTGGCCGAACGCCCGGCCAAGCACCCGCTGGCCACACCCCTTCTTCTGGCTCCGCCCACCTGCTCATTACGCTAGCCCCGCCCCTCGCCCCGGCTGCGGAGGAGGCCGACCCGACGCCTCGCGAGCTTCCACGTATACACTCCGACGTCTCTCCCCTCCGTTCCAAGAAAGTACATCCGGGTCACTGGAACAGGTGCCTCAGGCCCCGCCCCTGCCCAAGCACTCGCCCCACTTCCGGCCACCTCAGGCCTTTCCGCCTGTTCTGTTCAGGTTTTAGTATCTGCTCCCCAGGTGGTTCCCGGCCCTAGGTCCGGATCTCAGCACTGCTCACCCGCCCCCAGCGGCTCTCTATCAACCCGAATCTCCCCGAGGCTCGGAGCGATTCGGCCTGAGGCCTGCCGCGCGCGGGGAGTCCACGCAGACCTGCCGCCGCGTCTCTCGGCAGCTCTGTTGAGGCCGCCGCCACCGCCTCGGGATGCCGCGGCTGGGTTCCGCGCAGGGCTGGGGGGCCGCCGCGGGCCGTTGGGGCTGCAGGCTGCTCGCGCTGCTGCTGCTGCTGGTGCCGGGACCCGGCGGCGCCTCCGAGATCACCTTCGAGCTGCCCGACAATGCTAAGCAGTGTTTCTACGAGGACATCGCGCAAGGCACCAAGTGCACCCTCGAGTTCCAGGTACGACAGGCTCTGGCGGTCCCAGGGCCCCAGCTCGTGGTTCCAGGGTCGGGGAGTGATCTGCTGGTGCCCCGCTCCGGACTTTGTTTCTTTATCTTTGGCTGATTCAGAAATCAACTCTAGGTTACAGATACAGAGAATTTGGCCTTCCTCTTCTAAACTTTGGGCGAGAGAAATTTAACACCAGATATTAAGATATATGAGTTTCAAGAATGCTTCCATACTTTCTTTCCATTCTCTAATGTCCTTCATTTGAAGGCCATTGAGCTTTCTTCCTTAAAAGACTTTCCTTTAAAAATACTTATTCCTGCTCTATAGTGCCCAGTGGCTGTCCCGACTCTCTAACCTACACCTCTGCTTTAATCAGATTTGAGGTGCTGCCAATATCTAACTTTATTGCTTTTTAGTTTTTTCATTGATATTTAGGACTGGTGATTAATGTGGTCCCTCTCACTGAACGAGCATCACTCTAGGCCAGATGACCAACTGCCAAGGTGGTGTAGAAAGAATTATTGCAATAAATGAGAGGCCCCTTCTCACATTTGGGAGTCTAGTAAAACGAAACTTTATTTGGCAGAATGTAGTTTTAATTGGTTAGAACAATCTTTACTCTGTTTCTGTTCTTTTTGGTAGACTTATTTCACGTACTTGAGCAGCTGTTCAGTGCTAGGTGCTGGTGATGCAGAAGTGATCAAAACACTGGAGAGTGTTTTCTTGCATTCTTAATTCCCCACCTTGTCCTACCCTTCTTTTCTTAATTAGTACCTGCTCATTCATCAAAACTGATTTAAGAGCAGAAAATAGGGGATATATGATCTGGTCTTTGGGATCTGTGAAGGCTTCCTTTAGCAAGTGCGTTTAAGCTGAATTGTAAAGAATGAATTGCACATACCTCAATAAGAGGAAAGAGGGAATAGGCTCTGCAAGAACCCCATGGTAAGAGTGACTGAGAATATGAAGACTATAGAGAGGTCCTATATATTTGGGAGTAAGAAGTCAGAAATGGAGGTGGAGAGGGGGAGGTCAGCAGAGGCCAAACCATGTAGTGCCTTGCTGGCTGTGTTAAGGATTTTAGTTTTTCCTAAGACTATGGGAAGCTATCAGAGGGTTGTAAGCGGTGAAGTGACATAATCCAAATATTTTTGGTAGTTGTATGGATATTAACTTGTGCAGGTGGGGAAGGTATTTTAGAGTAGATATACAGATTGATTAGGAGACTATTGTAGTGGTTGAGGCTTAGACTAGGGTGTTAGCAGTGGGGAAGAAGAAAAGTAAAAGGATTGGAGATAATTTAGTAGGTGAAATGAACAGGACTTGGTAATTTGATTATAGTGAGTGAGGGAGAGGAGGCTAAGGGTGACCCTTAGGCTTTTTAACTTTATGGATTAGGACTATGGGACAGAAAAGAAGATAGCAAGAATTGTAATATAAATTGTCAGTAAAAATTTTGTTTGAATTTAACAAACATTTTTTGAATTCTCATATGTATAGACACAGTGTTTGGTGCTGGGAATACACACTACTATTACAACTATTATGGGCTAAAAACAACTGTAATGTGATAGGCAGTATGACAAGCATTTCATGTGTATTACTTAATTCTCAGGACAACTCAATATGAAATGAAATAGGTATAGTTCATATTCCTTTTTTACTGATGAAAAAACTGAGGCTCCCATAGGTTAAAACACAAGGTCCTAAAACATTGCAAGTAACAGAATCAGTATGCAGTTCCAGATTAAATTCTTTATTATACCTCCCAAAGATAAGTAAGACTTACTTTGACCTCAGGGAGCTTACATAGACACATACAGTCCTATAATGGTAAATCCAACAAAGTAAGTATACACTAGGTGTTGTGGGGTCATAAAAAGATAGCTTTCTTCCCACCTTCTAAGTTCTAGCTGGGCTAGTAATCAAATTAACAGAGACAGATTAACAGGAGAAAATGTACAAAGTTTATTTTGGATGTATATGCAGGGGTATCACATACGAGACTCGAAACCCTGTGGGCAGTGGAGGCTTTCATGCCATGCTAGATAAAGCAGAAGGTGTGGACAGGGGTCTAGGATTTTGGAGAGGAAATAGGCAATTCACATGAAACCCAGAAAGAGCAGAACATGTGGCAAACACATTCCTGCTAGGCAACCCAGAAAACAATGGGGCAGAGGCTAAGGAACAGGCATGGTATTAAGACTGGTTACCTATCAGGAATATGCCTATGTGACCAGAAAAATATTAAAAACCCAGCCAATACTCTTTTGGGCTGGTTCCAAGGTGTTCCATGTACACTTGGTGGTTCCTGATCTGAGAGAGAGAGTATATGTCTATCTACAACCTTCATGGGGGGAGGACAAAGAAGCCAAAACCTACCCTTACCTGACCTGTTTCTGTGAGACAGCTTTTGCCTGTGATGTTTTCTTTTCCTGTAATAAACTGGGTTTGTAAGCACTGTCATTTTGAGTCCTGTGATTCTTCTTCAGTAAATAAACCCTGTCTAACTTACAGTGAAGTTGTAAAGCAAAGACTCTTCCAAGAACTTCTGACAGTTTGGTATTTTTGGAACACAGAATGAGAAAGGGTATGAAAGGAGCTAAGCTACCTGGAGGAGGTACAGGGGAATGGTATGCTGTTGTTAACAGGTTTGGATTTTTCTGTAGGGGAAATCAAAAGGGGAATTCCAAAAGGAAACAGGATTATCAAAAGGTTTTAAGTAGAATGGGGGATGGAGAAGGATAGGGAGGTTAATCAAGGTTGAAAAACACTTGATTAGAGGGATGAGAGATTGGGTTGTGGAAGAACTTTTAGGAAATTGTGGCAATAGCCCTGTCTGGTCCTGGCCGGTTTGGCTCAGCAGTGTAGAGCATAGGCCCACGGACCAGAGAGACCCGGGTTCGGTTCCGCTAAGGGCGCGTACCTCAGTTGCAATTTGTCCCTGGCCCCAGTTGGGGTCGTGTGGGTGGCAACCAGTCGATGTGTTTCTCTCACATCGATGTTTCTCTCTCTCTCTTCTTCCCTTTATCCCTCCTGCTCTATCTGAGGATAAATGTAAAAATGTCCTTGGGTGAGGATTTAAAAAAAAAATAGTCCTGTCTGGATTGTGGATTAGGAATGGAAAAGATGGGATGAATTTGAGAAAGGCAAAAACATCAAGAGAATCCTGTTGTTTAACCAGACAAGTATAAACACTTAATTTGGGATGATTCCAAGTTTCTATTTTATATGACCAGACAGCTTGTAAAGGGTTACTATTATCTGAAATGAGATTACTTGTTTGAAAGTCTGTTGCAAGAAAAGTATCATGATGGTCAGTTCTGGTCCTATTCTGTATGTCTTTGATTATTCAAAGTACAACACTGAATATGAATAATTGGGTGTATAAAAATGATGTCATTATTTTCACCTGGAAAAAAATTTGTTGACTTTTGGGGGCAGGGGTAATTGCCCAATTGATAAAGACACTTTTTGTGTCAAAACATTGTCTCTATATTAATTTCACATATTTTTATAGTTTCCCAAGTACATAATTTAATTATCAAAATGATCTTCTAATATAGTTCAGTTATACTTCATATCTCTAAGGTGACAAAAGATCACATAAATCCATTCTTCTTTAAAGTCCAAAGTTTGATCTCTGTTTTGCAGATCTAGAATGTTAAGTATTATGCTAACCAGAAGTGTTTAAGCTTGAAAATACATGCTTGTGCCACCCCGACTCATGTTGGTTGGGAACCCTCAAACCCACTGTCTCTTCCTCATCACTTCTTACTCAAGTGGATACATGCATCCTATGTTTCTTCTCCTATCTCCTCCCTCTTTCTTCCCACTCATTTCTTTCTCATATAAAGAGGCCGTGCTTCTCTTTAATCCTTCTTCCCTTTTCTGTCTTATTATGATTGTCCAGTTACTTCAGGAAAAATCCCACCCCCCTTCATTTGGACAACCCAAGTTGCCCAAATTGTAATGATTAAATACAAGCCTTTGAAAATAGCTCCAAAATCCTCTCCAGGAACATTTTCTTTACTCTCAATGTTACACATTTATAAACTCTCAGCTTTCCTTTCAGTGTGCTTTTAACTTCCCAGATAAAAGATCTTTTTGTTTTTGTGTTCTGTTTTGTTTTTGCTTTAGTCATTAGTATATAAACAGTATTGTTTAATCATTTATGTTTCTCTTAAAACACGTTTATAAATGATGATGATACTCTTTGAACAGTCCACAGGTCTATTCAATTAATAATGTAGTTTAAAACAAAATATGTATCAATTTCTATATAACTGACCTGTAAAAGAATTTAAGCACAATCTATTTGTAATTTGGCAGTAAAATTAGTTTGAGTCTATGATGGGGTGTTGTGCTAAGGACTGACCTACTTTTACTACTTCACTATATTATCCATGTCTGTGCTTGAATGATACTAATAGAAAATTAGGTGAGAAAATGTGTGGAAGGTAAATATTACATGACACTAGTTCGAGTTTATCTTAATGTCAGTTTGTCCGATGGAGGGGTGAAAAAACCCCTTGGTAGGATTGTTTGGGAGAATTCAGTGATATCAGAAACCTACATTAACTGAAAGTTGTCTGGCTAATTAGCTAGTTTCCTCTCTCCTAGCATGAGATTTGTTCAGTTTTTATAAATCTTTAGTTGAACTGAAATTGGCCTCCCAAGTTCTATCCACTGGTAGGAATAAAAAATATATAAAATTGTCTGTGATAGTAAAGGTCCGTAGCCTATAACTTTCTTGCCATTTTAGCAGGAAATCTGGTAATTTATAAAACTTGTTAATTACAGTGATCTCTTTTTTTTTCTCTCTTTATAGGTGATTACTGGTGGTCACTATGACGTAGATTGTCGATTAGAAGATCCCGATGGCAATGTGTTATACAAAGAGATGAAGAAACAGTATGACAGTTTTACCTTCACGGCTTCCAAAAATGGGACATACAAATTTTGCTTCAGCAATGAATTTTCTACGTTCACACATAAAACTGTATATTTTGATTTTCAAGTTGGAGAAGACCCACCTCTGTTTCCTAGTGAGAACCGAGTCAGTGCTCTTACCCAGGTAAATAAAAAGTCAACACTATAATGTTGGTGTTATGTAAAGGGAGAAAACGCATAGTTTATATGCATTAACTTGTGGATAAACACAGAATTTTGACTTTTAACACAATCATTAAGACTTATCTTAATTATTACAGTAGAATAGGCATTTCACAGAGAACTTCAGACTTTTCAGTGAAGACCGGTGTTAAAGGATTTTATGAATTTTTAAGTGTAAAGAAAATAAGAAGCATTAAAATAGGAGAATCACGTAGGTAGAAACATCAATGGTAAAGGAAATTTAGGAAGTCTAAACAGTGCTCCAGCGTTCTGAAGCATTTTCTGTAATTCATGGAGGAATGTTGCTACCATAACATAGCAGATTGGTATAACTAGAAGCAAAATGATGCTTTAATTAATATATAAAAATACCACAGATGGTTTTATGCCAATATTTTATGTTATTCAAGCAGCTGTTACAATAACTTTTGCTGTAACTTAAGGTAAAATATTAAAAGAGTAATGATAAGTCATCTAACAAAAATAGATTAAGGAAGCTAAATTGGGTTTTATTTTGAAGACTAGTTTAATAAGAGAAAGATAGTAAAAGAAATGTAAAGTCAATGAATAAATACTGCTCAGGTGATGAAAGGGCTATTTTAGTTCTAGTTCAAATACAGTATGAGCTCAGATTATATCTAAAAGATACTCAGGAATTATTTAACACCTGCTTGTTAAAACCTTAAACTGGTATTTCATTGTTCCCATATTCTAGTTAGTCCCTTGGCCAAAGTCATGTGATAATAGAGGTAGTTTTTAATAATGTATAATAGCCTTAATTCATAAACTTATTGTAGACTTAAATAAGATGTGTTCCAATGCTCTTATTTCTAGAAATCTCTTTATTTTAACATTCTGTGTAAACAGCACTTTTCTTTGTAAACAAAGATTTTTCTTTAGGGCCATGGTTTATAACTTAACCTTTATGAATTTTAATTTGTGTAAGAAGGTAGCTTGCTCTTAAAACCTAAATAGATAAATGTAAGAAATGAGTGGTCATAAAGCAATTAGTATCACTTAACCTGTATTTTGTATCACATTTTTTAAAATCTTAGTTTTATTTTTCTACTTTCAAAAAGCTAATGCCCTGGCCAGTTTGGCTCAGCGGTTAGAGTATCAGCCTGCGGTCCAGAGAGACTCAGGTTTGGTTCCTGCTAAGGGCATGTACCTCGGTTGCAGTTTGTCCCCGGCCCTGGTTGGTCGTGCGGGTGTCAGCCACTCGATGTGTCCCTTTCACGTTGATGTTTCTTTCTCTCTCTCTCTCTCTCTTCCTCTCTCTCCCTCCCACTCTGTCTGAACAAAAAAATGGAAAAATGTCCTTGGGTGAGGATAAAAATAAATAAATAAATAAAGCAAGCAAGCAAGCTAGTAAGTCTCTCATACAATAGGGATACTTATAAAGCAACTGTTCATACTTTGAAATTGGAAAACATTACTAGCTAATAAATATAGAATGAATGATAGGTTTTACTAAATCACTATTTTTTAACCACTAATAAAATGCTGGGTCTAGAGTAGGCAGTAATCACCAGTCAGTGCTAAAACCATTAGGTGAAGGGCAGATGGGAAACCTTAGAATGGGTAGATAAGACTATATCACCTAAATCTAATATTTCACAAATGGAGAGATAACGACATTATGTGTCTTCTGATAATAGGCAGTAATGAAGTACACAACATTGCCTATGCAATGTTCCCTTTAAGAACATTATACCTGAATCCCATCAAGTCACTAGCTCCAACTACCAGTTTATAAGAAATACAAAGGATAGAGGAACACCATGGAAACAGTCATCAAAATTCAGGAAGTGGGAAATACTACAGGATTGAGGCCCCAGTTTCTTCAATAAATAGATGGGAAGGGGAAAAGAAGGCAGAGAACTGAAGGATTAAAGAAGACTTAAAAGACATATCAACCTGATTACTGTGTTGACATTGTTTGGACTCTGATTTGTGAACAACTTTTGAGGCATTTGGGGAAATTTGAAAACTAACTTTATATTTGATATAAAGAAACTTTTAAATTACTTTATGTGTTGTAATGCTACTGGGGTTATATATATTTGTAAAGTGTTACCTTTATGAAATAAACATGTATAAAAGTATAACTGAAATGATAAAATATCTGGGTTTTGCTTTAAAATAATTGGTGTGGGGAGGAAAACTGGTGGAGAATAAAGATGGAACAAGATCAGCCATATGTTAATTATTGACATGGAGGTTCATTGTTCTATTCTCTGTACTTTTGAATATGATATGAACATTTTCACTTTAAAGGTAAAGAGAAATTAAAGGGAAACAACACCATCTGAAAAAGTGTATTGAATCTATGCAAGTAGTCCCTTAATTTCTGTATTTCCTCTAATCCAGAAGTTCTCAATCCATACCCCATTGGTTAGGCTTCAGGGAATCTTTAAACATTCTAAATTTGTGTCAAATCCTTGCTGTTATGCATGTTTTCCAGGGAAAGAATCCTTAGACCATATATATTGAAAATACATAGAAAGCAAAAAAATGCCCATGCACTTCTCTAGCCTCTTACCACAAATTTAGAAATCATTCATTTTGGCACAGTTTTGCTAATCTTTCATTCCTAGGGGCCTAAAACAGGAACGGCAAGAACATTTGAGTAGTCTAATAGGTAAATCAATCTGTAGATTTTATAATTTTCTACTTTTTAAAAGCATCTTAAATGGAATTTTTTTTTTAATCATCACCTGAGGACATTTTTTTTATTTATCTTTAGACAGATTAGGAGAGAGGAAGAGAAGGAGAGAGAGAGAAGAGAAACATCAATGCGAGAGAGACACCTCCACTGTTGCCTCCCCCGAGACCCTGATGAGGGTCAGGGACGAACCACAACTAAGGCACGTGCCCTTGGCTAGAACCGAACCCAGGTCTCATTGATACATGGGCTGATGCTCCAACTACTGAGCCAGACCAGCCAGGGCTGGAATATTTTTTATAATTATTCTTTTTATACATACTTGGCAGAACTTTATTAAATTTTTGAATTATTTTCTCATGTCGACATGCCAATTAGAATTAAGACAAACTCTGCCCTGGCTTGTGTGGCTCAGTTGGTTGAGCATGATCCCATTCACCAAGAGGTTGCTGGTTTGATTCCCTGTCAGGGCACATGCCTGGGTTTCAGACTTGATCCCCAGTAGGGGGCATGCAGGAGACAGACAATCAGTAGTTCTCTGTCTTGATGTTTCTCTCTTTCACCCCTCCCTTCCACTCTCTCTCTGGAATTAATAAAAACATATATAAAAAAGTAATAAAGTAAAATTAAGACAAACTTTTCTCAATTTAGGTGGTATTATTAATGTATTAAAAGGTAAGGCATCATCAGAGGAAGGCTCACAAACCAATTACACAGTGAAACTGAAACTTGTATACTATTGAGAACATGTATATTAATTGGTTTAGTTGACTGGCACGAGGGGAAAAAAACTTATTTAGCAAACTGGTAAGTGTAAAAAATAGAGATATTCCTACTATGACCTATAATTTTCAGATTCAGTTAGTTTTTAAATTGTTCGAATAACAATCTTTTTATGCCATTACTTTATTTTTTTTATATATATATATTTGGAATTTGATTTATAGTTGTATTGGTCATATTTACTGATCTATCCAATCTCTTCTTCCTTGGTTCAGTGGTTGAGCATCGACCCCAGCACCAATCTCTTCCTAATCATTTCTCTTCAGGGAATCTGGGTTTGAAATTTTATAGCTACGAACCTTAACTGATAAATATTTCTGCTACTTTTAGCCTAGTGTCCCATGCATATAGGTGCCACAGCTGTGACATTTTAGTTTGGGGCAAGCAGCTGCTTTGTAGGATCTCTAACTTACCAGTTGTACTAGTGGGAATGAGTAAAGGATCGCACTGCCAGGACCTCTGGCATAACTATGTGAATGAATGAGTGACAGTTTAGTAGAATGTTAGTGAAATGAGGAATTAAGATCAAATTAAAAGAAAAGATGACTATGTCAGATGGGTTGTACAGAAAGTATTAAACATACTAACTGGAAATATTTCTCTTTAGATGGAATCTGCCTGTGTTTCAATTCATGAAGCTCTGAAGTCTGTCATCGACTATCAGACTCATTTCCGTTTGAGAGAAGCTCAAGGCCGAAGCCGAGCAGAGGATCTAAATACAAGAGTGGCCTATTGGTCAGTAGGAGAAGCCCTCATTCTTCTGGTGGTTAGCATAGGGCAGGTATTTCTTCTGAAAAGCTTTTTCTCAGATAAAAGAACCACCACAACTCGTGTTGGATCATAACTACGTTTTGAGAATTGATGCACCATTGCCACTGTAATATTGCTGTCCTCTAATTAATTTTAGGTAACCGAAGAACTTAATATTGACAACATTTTAAAAACCTTACTCATATACTTGTTTGGGGGACTATACAATTCCTCAGACTGTGGAAAGGACACCTTTTTTTATTTGTAAAGGTATAAAAACTTTGGAACTTATTTTGGGCTATTCATGTTAAATATTCAACATCAATGATCTCTTTTCTTGGTTGTTTATATCTCCTCTTCGCACACTAAACTTTGGTATTTTGATTCCTTTTTGCCATTTAAAAATACTTTTCTTATAGGTAGTGAATATTTTTAAAACCTTCGATTTAATATCTACATGTGTTGTGGAGGAAGAAATTGCCTTTTAATTGTTTATAGTAAATAAGGTTTTGTTTTTCAGAAAACCAAATGTGATTACCTGTAGCCCAAGCCCTATTCTGCACTGTTTAATTTTTATGGGGGAAAAAATCTACCATAGAAATGTTTGTTAATATTGATACAATTTTAAATTGATACATCATGGTATAACTTATTTTTCACTAGCTTGGAAAATGTCAGATTTTTGTTTTGGGGGTTCATTCTATGATTTATAACTAGATATGTTATTTTTTTCATAAAGACATTCTTACTACATAGAAAATAGTATGTTTCGGTAACATAATAGAGTTTATACAGGCCTTAAAAATCAGACTGTCAAACCAGATAGAATAAATACAGTAAAATTTAAGATACTACAATGTCTTATAGGGGCAAAAGAAAAGTGAAATTTTTTATTGAATCATCTGTCAATTAACATTTTCAGTGCTTTTACAAAGAAAAAAGGTGATCTGTTTCATTTAAACATTTAATTGGCTGGTTCTTGCCATTATGTGGCTTTAATGTTTTTGAGTCATTCCCAGCTTAAATTGACAGTTATAATATTAATATTGTAATAGTGCCATACATTTAATCCCAATAGGTGTGATGCACTGAGAAGTTAGTTTCTTTGGATTTTTTTTCTTTCTTTTTTCTTTTTCTCTTCCTTTCATTCTTTCTTTCTTTTTTGTCTTGCACATGTAATTTGTATAATCCCTGGTTAGCATCCCTAAAATGATTTAAAAATTTAGAATGCTGTGTGTGTTTTTTATTTGATAATCCTCATTGTACTGCATTTAATGAATATTAAATAGTGCATATTCTGTATACTAAATGGTTTAAAATGTGTTTGTATTTTATAACTTGTATAGATTGAGCTAACTGAAATAAGATTTTGTTTTAAGTATTCTGAGATAGAATCCAAGATATTGCAAAATTGTATAGATGTTTAAAGCTTTTCTGCTGTTAAAAAGAAATTGCAACTGTTTTTTTTGCCATGCATTCCTTCCCCACCCAAAGGTTATAAGTGCTGAATAAGATTCATATTGTACAGACTTCGATATGTGGTACCATAGAATACTGATTGGATAGCGATTCTAGTTACCACTACTGACTAAAAGTTAACTCAATTTTAAGCTCTTAAAATACATATATACAAGTATACTACTGCATGTAAGAGCAAAAGGAATTAAAGTTGTCATGCTGGCTAATTTCAAATGCAGTGTAGCAAGGGATAAATGTGTTTTCAACTTCAACCCTTTAATTTTAAATGTTTTGAAGATCACATATCTAATCCTTAATATCAGCTTAAAAATGAAGTTTAAGATTTTGTAACTTTACCATTTGGATTCTTATATTGGCGTTGTCTTGCAGCTTTATAAGTGTCCCTCGGTATTTAGATTTGAAAATTTTCAACACTAATGTTAATGTGACTCATAAGCATGGGTGTATGTTAAATGTCCGTTCTGGTTACCTGTCTGCTCTTTGTGTTCAGATACTTAGACCATAATTAAACAGAGTCAGGTACCATCAGGTGCCGAGTTTGGCATAGATAATGCGGTTATTTCATCTCTGCCTATCAAAACTTCGTAATATTAGACTATTACTACAAATAATTTGTGATAAAACTGTTGAGATATATTTAAATGTTTGAAATCACCACTGTTACCTGTTGTAGAAAATAGTACAGGCTTAGTTTAGTCTGTATATATCTGGTTAATGTTTGATGGCTGCCTATACTCAAACTGGGTATGTATATATAAATGAGAAAATACATATCTATCCAGATATAACTGTTAAGTAAACTTTTTTTTTCTTCCTCCTCCTGTATAATTTGTAGCTCATTCTTCTTCCTTAATTCTTTCATAACTTGATATAGCAGTTTGAATTTCCCAAATATTTATATTTGGACATATGGCTCAGAATATTTAAACATCATTAGCTGTATATATTTTTTAAGTAGAATAAATAATGGAAAGGGACTTGATATACAAGTTTATACTAAAATTCCAACTGTGAAGATACATTATAAGATTGCTAATAATCTAAACATTCTTTTTTCTATTAAAAGAAACAAATGGTGTGTGGTTCTTAACTTTCATTGTGGCTTGATGCTAATCATCTTTGAAAAAGCAATGGACTGAGAAGCAGTTTTATTATTTGAAAGATTTCATTTAAATCTCTGTACTATCTATATTTGCTTTAGTTTATAAATGTGTAACATTGATAGTTAAATAGGACAAAGCAGACCCTGTGACTATTGTTTTCAAAAATTAAACAAATTAATATATAAATAAATCAGAGGGGTTTTTATTTACTTCTGAAAAGAAAAACAAATTTATCTAAACAGATGTTGGTTCTGTAGGGTTGCATCAACCCTTGTAGAATAAAAAAAATCTTTCAACAAACTGACTTGTTTCTGTCAGGATTTAAATCTTTTTAAAACTTCTTTTGAACTTGCAGCTTGGATTACATTTTTGTAGCAAGAGAGTGACTATTTATTTGGTATTTTCATCGAAACATCTTGGACTGGCCAAGAAAAAAAAGAAGAGGAATACAGGTATCTCCTACTTTTTGAAAGCTTATGGTATACCACTTTGCTTTTACAAATATCTGCATTATATGTACCTGTTTTCACTAACTGGAAGAAATCCAGAGAGGATTTTCCTTTGATGAGAAATGGTGAAGATAGCATTCCGCATCTGTTTTTCAGGGAACCATTCCAGAGGCAGCACGTACCCTGAGCAGCATGAGTGGCACTGCTTTACTATATGTCAGTGTTATTTTAGGTTTTATGTGTTATTTGGTATGTTATTTTGGGGTCTGGGAATGCTTAAAAATTTTTTCATATAAATTAATGATAATTGCTGTTTTGCTTTATCCCATTTATGCTTAGGAAAGGTTTCATAGGAGCACTCTGCTTTCAGATAGCAGGGGAAACCTGTACCGCCTCTCAACTGCCTCATTTTTAACCTTTTTGCATTTCCTACGGAAAGTTTGTGTGAAAGGCAGTTTAGCCTTCAGTTTCCTAGAAAACTCTTAGTTTTTAAGTAAATTAACCTCAGATTGTATGATGCCAAGTTACCTCATTTTTTTTTTTCTTTCCCTTGATAATGTAGTCACACAGGACATTCTGGTTTCTGGGCACAATTCTACAAAATAAATAATAGTAAATAGAGGTTAACATTTATTGAATGCTTACCCTGTGCCTCATGGTGTGCTGATGTTTTACTTGTATTGATACATTTTATCTTTGCAATTATCCAATGAACTTGTGAATTCTTGTTTATAGATGAGAAAAATGAAGGCATAGAGAGGTTGGGAAACCTGCCCATATGGCAATAATTAGAATCTGAATACCACTGCAGCCTGGTTCCAGAGCCTTCTTTCTCAACCACCATGTAGTATTGCCTTACAAATACTAGTTAAAGGATAGATCTCCGAAGGCTTAACTGTCTTGTTTCAGTGTAGCTCAATATCGTTTCAGTGCTTTACCATCAAATTCAAATCATGGTTGTATGACTTCACACAAATGATTTTATTAGCAGTATGTTTCTATTTCTTTGTCTATGACTGAGGTAATATCTACTATAATGAGAATATAATGAGATGTTTATAAAACATTTAAAATCAGTGTCCGTCATATACAAGCACTTAACAGAAGCTACACACACACACATACACACATACATGTGTGTGTGTGTATATATATATACATATATATACATTTTTTTTTTTTTAGTTTTTTTCTTTATTGATTTTAGAGAGGAAGGGAGAGGGAGAGAGACAGAAACATCGATGAGCGAGAATGTTGATTGGCTGCCTCCTGCATGTCCCCCACTGGGGATTTGGCCCACAACCTGTGCATCAAACGGGCGACCTCTTGGTGCATGGTTCGACGCTCAACCATTGAGCCATACCAGCCGGGCCAGTAGCTATATTTTTGTCATTGGTCCAATTCTAGTTTCTTGTTCTTTCTTTAGTTTCTAAAGTTCTTACGTTGACCTCTACTCATATGGCTCTTAGTACATAGCACAAATGTGGAAGCGTTTGAACATTTATCACGTACATAATGGTCTGCTAGAAGTGTCAAAACTGAATAAGATAGTCCGAACTCCAGGAACATAACTTAGTTGGGGGAGGCAGGACAGCTATATGAGCAACTAATGTTATATAAGTAATGAAGCAAAAGGTCCTTGAAGGAGCTAAGGCATTTTCAGGGTGCTAAAAGAAGAAGAAAATATATAAGTTGAAAGACATATATCCTAAAAAGTTTAACTTGGTTTACCCATGGGGGAGGTCTACAGTTGTCTAGCTAGTCCAGCAATGAGTTCAGGGATAGGGACCTATTAGTCTCCATTGCTACAGGTAAGAAAAACATGTTCTTTAACTTGGTTAATTATGAAGGTGATGATCTCTTCTGCAACTCAGTTGTTTCCAAATTCTGGAGGAAATACAGGATGTTATTCCCAAACCACCAAATGTGCTATTTTTCAGTCTGCATTTCTGCATTTTTAGAAATGATCACATTCCTTGATGAAATTGAGATTATACCAGAAGTAACACTGGTCTGGCATATCTGTTTCTAGTGCTGGTATTTGCTAGTGATTACTACTACCTTAAAAGGAAAAGGCAGCACAAGAATTTAAGAAAAATAATGGTTTAAAAGGTAAAATCCACCCATACCCCCACCATCCATTTTGTTGTATTTCAGTTCTTTTTGTTGTTAATCCTCACCCTAGGATACTTTTCCATTGATCTTTTCAGAGAGAGTAGAGGGAGAGAGAGAAACATTGATGCAAGAGAGCACAGGTTCTGGGATTGAACCTGCAACCCAGGTACATGCCCTTGACTGGAATCAAACCCATGACCCTTCAGTCTGCAGGCCAACACTCTAAACACTGAGCCAAACTAGCCAGGACATAATTCATTTATTTTTATAGATACATATACATGTATTTTTTAAAATTGGTATTGTCTAAATAAATTTTTTAAATTAAAAGTTATAAAATCTGCAATACAGAAGAGGGTATCAAACAAGTACAGTTTAAAGAGAAGTAAAATTGTAAAGTACACATTAATATAACCAATGCTTAGTCTAAGAAATATTGCCTAGCTGGTGTGGCTCAGTGGTTGAGCATCTTCCCATGCACCAAGAGGTCACAGGTTCAATACCCTGTCCGGACACATGCTCAGGTTGTGGGCCCAATCCCCAGTGGAAGGGAGGGAAGGATGCAGCCAATCAATGTTCTCTCTCATTGATGGTTCTATCTCTCCCTCTCCCTCTCTCTCTAAAGCAGTGGTTCTCAACCTTCCTAATGCTGCAGCCCTTTAATACAGTTCCTCATGTTGTAGTAACCCCCAACCATGAAATTATTTTTGTTGCTACTTCACAACTAATTTTGCTACTGTATGTCTTAGGTGACCCCTGTGAAAGGGTCGTTCGACCCCCAAAGGGGTTGCGACCCACAGGTTGAGAACCCCTGCTAAAGAAAAGAAAACCAACATTGCCAGCCCTGGCCTATGTGGCTTAGTTGATTGGGTGTCATACCATACACCAAAAGGTTGCCAGTTCCATTCCCAGTCAGGGCACATGCTGGAGTTTCAGGCTTGATCCCCAATAGCGGGTGGCATGCAGAAGGCAGCAGATGGATTTATTGCTTTCACATCAATGTTTCTCTCCCTCTCCCTTCCTCTCTCTCTAAAATCAATAGAAAATAATTTTTAAAAAAGAAATACAACATTGGCAGCACCATAGAAGGTTCCTATGTATGTTTTTCTGATCACATCCCTGAATTTCTCCTAGAGATAACCACTGTTCTGCTTGAAATGAAAATAATTTTCTTATTCTTCTTGATATTATGTATAATAGTTCTTTTCAAACTGCCTTTTTAAATAATTTCCATACATCACAGATACTTTAATAAATATAAAATCAAATACTTGAATAGTTTGGTAATGTCAAACTTGCACATGATTTGCTTATCTCTGCATCGGCCTGTAACAGTTCGGTATGGTCTATAGATCACACTTTTAGTAGTACTGATGTCTATATTACTGAAAAATATTTTTAAAAATCAGGCAAAACGTCAATTTTAATAAGTAAAATTTAATGGAATATTAAATTCTATTTAATAAATTGAGTATTACATGGATTTTTTTGTGACTTTATTTTGCTAGGTCGTCTATGTTAATGCATATGGCTGTTGTTTTTGTTACCGTGTGGTAGTCCATCACATGAGTACACCACAGTTATATGTCTCTTCAACTATAATGGCGTTTGGATTGTTTCATGGTTTTTTGCTATTATGAACAAATTCACTATGAACATTCTTGTATGTGTCCTATTGCACATGTGTATGATCTCTTGAGAATACATCTAGGATTGAAATTATTTACTCATAGAGTGTGTATCTTCATCTTTACTAGGTAATATCTAATTTTCTAAAGCAATTGTATCAATTGATGTTTTTATCAGCAGCATTAAAAGGTTCCACATTTGGTATTGTCAGAATTTAAAACTTTTGAAAATCTCCTGGGTATTTCAGTTATTTTTATAGTTACATGTAATATTGTTAAAGAAACTGGTATTATACCTCATTGTTGCTTAAGTTGCATTTTCATGAGGTTAATTAGTTTTTCTCAGGTTTATTTATCATTTTGATTTCCTCTCTTATGAAGTCCCTTTCAAATCATTTGCCCTTTTCTAAAAATTGGATAGCTTGATATTTTTTGATTAACAGGATTCCTTTATGTATTCAGGAAACTTAATCTTTTGGTTATAACTATTTCAAATGTCTTTTCACAGTTTTTATTTTTATTTTCCTAGTGAAATGTATCAATCTTTTCCTGTTTTGGTGTTGGTATGTCTTTTTAAAGAAATATTTCTTTCTCTTGGGATCATGAATATTTTCTCCTATACTGTGTTCTAAAATGTGTATAATTTTGTCTTCCAGGTTTCTTTTTTCAATTTCTTGAAAACTCACCTTTTTCTATTGATTTGTAATGCCAATATGGTCATCGATTACGTGCCCATATTTACATGAGTCTACTTCTGGGCTCTCTGCTCTATTCCATTAACCCAGTTGTCCTTATACCAATAACATACTGTATGAATTACTAAAGCCTTTTAAATTCTTGATATTTGGTCGAACATGTGTTTATACCTTGTTCTTCAAAATGTTGGCTAGCTGTATTTTGCATTTTGTACAAAGTTTAGAATTAGCACAAGTATCAACAAAAATCTCTTA